TCAAACGACGGGTATCACTTCGGGTACTTAAAGTCAATATTGCGGTTTCCTTTACGAAACACTAGAACAACTCATTTTTTAAATATTGAATTGAAACTTTGCACAGTGACAGACCTTAACAAGAATAGTTTATTGTGAATGTTTCTGATCTTTTGATTTGCTCCTTTTCTAATATATGCCGAAGTATATGAGCAGTGCAGAAAATAAGTTTTTATTATAGCTCCATCTTAGAATAAAAACAACGAAAATATTTGAAACTTTCACCATAAATTATTCTCGGTGAGTCTAGTCTCTACGGAAAGTTTCAATTTGAAATTTGTCGAAAATGAATTTTTCTCGTATTTCTGAGAGCAACTGCAGCATTAACTAAAACATATCGTGAAAATGCAGTATCTTAACAGCAATAAGCTATAGACCCGAGCTCTTTTTTCCGTGTATTCATTGCCCCACTAGGATCTACATAATAGAAGATGATTCAGGATCTTCTATTGTAGATTTGAATATATAAACTTTTATATTCTTCTTTCTAATTGAGATTGAAGTAATTGGTACTGAGTAATGGATATAAGATTACTTTTTTTCTTCATTCGAAACTTATATGAATTGAATGCAATTAACTTAAACTCAAATAGATATAATTAGAAATCGGCAAGTTCAGTTCTAGTTCGGATCTACGAGTTTGTTGAAGACATTTTCTGATATGTTCAAGCAATTTTTCATTCTATTTTTGAGAAAGACACTTCAGAGTTTTAAAAAACTTTGTTCTATTGCTGAAGTGACATCTCCAAAGCAAAATAACATTTTTTTTTTGAAAAGCTCAGTTTCAAGAGCTGAACTGGTCGAGCTCTTATACATAACACAACATCTTCTTTTACTAATTGACTTAAAAGTATTGTCTACAAATAATTGAATATTAAGTATTAATCATTAAAGAATTTATAAAAATTGTCATTTAGATTGATGAATTGAAATAATCCATATGTTTGTATTTATATTTCAGGAAAAACTATAGCTTTTGCATTACCTATTCTTGAACGACTTCTTTATAAACCACATCAAACTGCACCTTGTACACGAGTACTTGTTTTAGCACCAACACGAGAATTATGTGTTCAAATTCATCAAGTATTTCGTCAATTAAGTCAATTTGCTCATAATATAACTACCTGTCTTTCAACTGGTATATTCTTTTCTTTTGTTATTATTTTTTTCATGTTCATATATATGTCGTTTGAAATATTATTAGGTGGTTTGGATTTAAAATCTCAAGAAGCATCATTACGTTTACAACCTGATATTGTTATTGCAACACCAGGTCGTTTAATTGATCATATACATAATTCACCATCATTTACATTACAAAATATTGAAATATTAGTTCTTGATGAAGCTGATCGGTAAATAATAATATCATTTATTTAATTAACAAGTTTGGCTTTTTTTTTTTATTCTATTTTAGAATGTTAGATGAATATTATTTTGAACAAATGAAAGAAGTTATTAATAATTGTTCACGTACACGACAAACAATGCTTTTTTCTGCAACCATGACTGATCAAGTATTTCTTTTTTTAATAATCTATTTTTTTTTCTTAGGATATTTTTTTTATTATTTTCTATAGATTAAAGATCTTATTCAGGTATCACTTAATCGTCCTATTCGTTTATTTATTGATGATAATCAATCAGTTGCACCATATCTTCGTCAAGAATTTATTCGTATTCGTGAACATCGTGAAGGTGATCGAGAAGCAATTATTGCTGCTTTACTTACACGAACATTTTATGATCGTGTTATTGTATTTGCACAAACAAAACGACAATGTCATCGTATGCATGTTATGCTTGGATTACTTGGACTTAAAATAGGTGAATTACATGGTGACCTTTCTCAAACACAAGTAAATAGAAAGTTTATTTTTATTTGAGAAAAAGAAAATTTCTGATATTTAAATTTCATTTTTCTAGCGATTAGATACATTAAAAAGATTTAAAAATGAAGAAATTGATATTTTAATTGCAACGGATTTAGCTGCACGTGGTCTTGATATTGATAATGTTAAGACGGTAAATATACAAATAAAATTTGTTTTTTTTTTTTGCTTTATCTTGATTTTATTTGAATGATTTATTTTAAGGTTATTAATTTTATTTTACCGAATACACTTAAACATTATATTCATCGAGTTGGTCGAACTGCTCGAGCAGGAAAAACAGGTAAAAAAAACATGAGAAGGTCAACTAACTTTGATATATAGATGAGGTGTAAGCCTAGTGACTCAGGTGCTGTTGGTACTGTAACGGGTCAGCCGTGTTGCTGATGCCCTAGAAGTTCATTCGCATTGCCGCCATCTTTTTAAACAATTGCTGAAAACTTCAATCGCCAACACTATGAATACTAGATTTTTGAAAATTATTGACATTCAGAGTTAGTTTCCGGAGATATTCTTGTCTAGTTTCTTATCATCACGTTCTCTACCATTATATTCTATCTTTTTTTCATTGCGAAATTTCATGAAACTAATACAATTTTTAAAAACAAAAGAGTTGAAAAATTTTAACCGCTGATTAATGCATCGGTATTTCTTAGCAATATTAACTGGTTAGTTTCGTATGACTATAGTTGTAGACGTCATACTATCATCTGTAATTTGGTTGAAATATCGAATAAGGTGAAATGAATTTGATTGCAGTTATATTAAAGTATTTAGTTTACTTGTTCAATGAATGACTATAAGATGTCAACATTTAAGAAACAATAATGAATAAAATGACTGAAAAAGATACGTTATCAGCATCTATTTGTATTTTGATGTTTTTATCTTCTGTATATTCTGTCATATTTTTGTATTTTGAGATAATACTATTATATTGATATTCTTATAGCGGATGATACAGATATGACATTTCAAGTATATATATATATATATAAAGGCATTTGTAAGACAAAAAGCTGTTGCAAGAAATGTCACAATCCATGAATAGATTATCCAATCATAAAGAACTAAAATGCATCAAAATGTTTTCTTGTGAATAAATGATTGACTAATGATGAAGATGCTTACCTATCATATTATGACATTTATTCTATGAATAGTTTTTTATTTGATAACTAATTAGAAATAAATAAACTGATGATTAGCATCTAATATACTTTCGTTACGTGGTTTTTTTTATACCTTGTCGCCACATGGCTATGAATTAATCATGGACAGGTATTTTTTTCCACGTGTCTTATATTATTCGTCCAATTGTAAATATACTATAAGGCTGCACGTAGTAATTGTCATAACTTATCTTGATGATATTCTTTCGACGTATAAGAGTATGTTAATATTATAAATTTAAGTAACAGAACACGTTTTATAATGAATCATCATTTCAGAGTAGGCATGGCTTTCACTTTTTTTAATTTCTTGAATTTTTCTTTATTACAGGACGATCAGTTTCACTTGTGGGTGAAAATGAACGACATTTATTAAAAGATATTCTTAAAACATGTAAGGTTCCAGCTAAAATGCGTATTATACCTCAAGGTAAATTTTTCGAAAAAAAAAAATTTTACAAATCGAAAATGAATTCTTCATCTGTTTTTTTTTTGTTTTTGTTTCAAGAAATAATTCAAATCTTTCGAAATAAACTTGAAGAACTTGAACCAGATATTGAAGAAATTCTTAAAATGGAATATGGTGAAAAAATGCTTCAATCATGTGAAACACAAGTATAAAGTTTAATTTAATAGTGTTTTTATTTTTTTGTTTTGTTCTCTTCTTTAATATTTTAGCTTAATAAAGCTCAACAACACTTAAAACAAAATAAAACAAACGAAACCAATTCAAAACGTGAATGGTTTCAAACTCGTAATGAACGTTTACAAGAACAAGAAAAGTTACGTTTAGATCCTTATAGTGGTAAGAAAAAGAAATTATCAAAAGACGAACGTGAACAAATACAAAAAACTAAATCAATACCAAAAAGTGTAATGTTATTTTTTTTTTAAATTCAATTTCGACAAAACTAAATTGATCATTTTTTCTTCAGGCAGATGATCGAGTTAAATTTGAAATGCAAAAAGTTGCAAAATTTCAAACACGTCAAACTAAGAGTAAGATTCGAACAAAAAATAGATTCATTTCAATTAAATTAATAATATAGATACTTCAAAACGATCAAGAGATTCTTCTTCATTTGAAACTGATTTAACAAGTGACAAATATAAACGGAGGTAAGAAAAAAAAAAAACAATATTCATATTGTTATTAGATTTGTTTTTTTTCTTCAAATCCTTTAGATCAAAATCTGCACCGCCAACAAAGAAAAGCAAACGATAAATTTTTTGTTGTTGTTATTGCTTCGAATTCACTTATTGTTATTCGAACTTTGTTTTTCTAATAAAAAAAAAAAAAAAAAGGAGCGCCGGTATCTTTTTGTTGTTTCTTTGTTGCTCTTTCTGTTATGCATCGTACATCACGTGATGGAATGTTGTATGTTTGTCGAATTTTAATTACATATCTATATATATTTAGTTTATGCCATCAATAGAATATAGGTATTTCTTTCTTTCAGGTGTAAATAGAAAAAAACGGGGTGTATTTATTTTAAGTATTTACTAGAAGATTAAGAAGTAAATAGAACTAAGGTGCTACCGCCTATCATAGATTAGTTTAGTCTTGGAGAAGTAAGAAAGTCGTTTATTTGATCATAAGATATAACACATGTCAGTTTGAAAGAAAACAAAAACAATGAATATTAAATAAACTACGTTGCAAAAACACTGAAGCAATAAAAAAATTACGCTATATTTGTCACGTTCTATTCAAGAGAGTGTTTCATACACCCTAAAGCTAAGCTCAAGCAGAACGCGAAAAAATAGGTAAAGAGAAAAAGAACGAATCACTTTGACTCAAACATACCAAAGTAGTTATTTTTTTTTCAAGGATGGTATTTTCTTTTCATTATATATTTCAGATAATGTTGATAAATTCAACATGTAAAAACGTATGTTAGATGTGCTAATGATGACAACAGTAACAAAAGAAACTTCTGAAATTGATCATATTGTTTCATCAGAACAATATCGACTTCAAACATTTCGAAGGTAATTATCTTTATTAGAAAAAACAAATTTGTTTTTTTTTTTGTTTTTGTTTTTATTGAATAATATTTTTTGTAGTCTAACACATCTTCCATCCATAACACGTCGTCAATTAGCTCTAGCTGGTTTTATTTATCGAGAAGATCAATGTGTATGTCCACAATGTGGTGTTAAAATAGATCTTGATACTATCGATGAAAATTCTGAATATGCTTCAAATTATTTTCGAAAATTACATCGAAAAAAAGTTTCATTTCTTGGAAAACGTTGTTCTTTTTTATTATGTGAATCAGGTACAAATATTGATGATCTTCATACACCATTATCATCACAACAACAACCACAATGGGATGATGCTGAAGAACCTGAATATATTAATTATACAATACGTCTTCAATCATTTGAATCATGGTCTCATTTACATCCACAAATAAATGGAGCACAAAAAACATTTGTTACACCTCAAACAATGTCTAAACATGGATTTTATTTTTCAGGTTTTATTTATTTATTTTAGATAAGAATTTTCATATCATTTTATTTTTAGGACCTAATGATGGTGTAACTTGTTTCTATTGTGGTAATACATTAGTTGATTGGTCATCAGCAATATGTTCTACAAATGAAAATATTGTTCAATTTGAACATGCACGTTTTTTTCCATGTCGTTTTGTTATTTATACAGCTGGTGTTAAATTTGTTGCTGAGGCAGGATATTTTCAAACAGTTTCTCCTCAAGGTCGATAAATGTTTAAAATCAATTTTCAGAATTTTATTTTAATTATTTATTATAGAACGACGTGATCGTAATCCTACGATATTAAAATCTTTAACTATGTCTGAAAGTATTGAAAAAAAACCTGAAACAATTGATGAATGTTTAGCAACATTTTATAAATGGCCTCGAAATGCTCCAATATCAGCTCAAGCATTAGCTGATAGTGGATTTTATTATTTAGGTGAAGAATTACGAGTAAAATGTTTTATGTGTGATCTTGAAGTTGATGATTGGCGTCATGGTATGACTGCTATTGGTACACATCGGAAACGTAAAAGTGATTGTGAAGTACTTCGTGCAATTGATAGTATTAAAACTGGTGATATACAAACAGTTAATGAAAAATGGCGTCTTGAAACACTTCTTGGTTTATCATTTACTGAATCAAATACAAATAATTATAATCAAAATGAAAATGATCAACGTTTATGTCGTGAATTAGCTGCATGTGGTTTTTATCGTTTTAAAAATACAAAATTTATTCGTTGTGCATATTGTGGTGTTACAATTGAACCAAAATTAGGTCAATCAATTATGTCACAACATCGATATTTAACTAAACAATCAATTAAAACAACAACAACAACAACAAATGATCAACAGAAAAAATCAACAGTGGATTGTCTTATGGTACGTGCACAATGTCCAGCTAATATTGTTATACCACATCGAGAACGTTTTCCAGAACATCCAAAATATCAATCAATATTTGATCGTATTAAATCATTTGAAAAGTATAAAGAACAACATAAAATTGATGATTGTTCTATACGTGATACGACAGAAGCAGGATTTTTTCTTGATGGTAAGAATTTTTAATTTTGTTTTTTTTCTTATTATTATTATACGATTTTTCTATAGAACAACGACGTATGCGATGTTTTCAATGTGGTAATGCATTACCAATTAGTGATAAACTACGACGAAAAAAATATTCACAATATAATATGGCACAATTACATGCACATTTCTATCCAACATGTGAATGGGTTAAAGAAATATTAGGTGTTAAATATATTGCACAAGTTCTTCATGATCGAAAGAAATCAAGTAAATATTTATTTTTTGATTTTAAATGAAATTCTAATGTATATTTTATTAGGTGAACCACAAAGTCAAACATCATTTTATGCACAACCATCATTAATACCGTGTTCAACGACTACAGATTCTGCCCCACCTACTTTAATCGGGCCAACTACTGTTAATAGTCCATCTTTATTTTCAGTAAATCAAATTGATGAACCTTTCCTATCCGACCAATCCGAAGAACTAACAGATGATGAANGTTTTTTTTTGATGGTAAGAATTTTTCATTTTGTTTTTTTTCTTATTATTATTATACGATTTTTCTATAGAACAACGACGTATGCGATGTTTTCAATGTGGTAATGCATTACCAATTAGTGATAAAGTACGACGAAAAATATATTCACAATATAATATGGCACAATTACATGCACATTTCTATCCAACATGTGAATGGGTTAAAGAAATATTAGGTGTTAAATATATTGCACAAGTTCTTCATGATCGAAAGAAATCAAGTAAATATTTATTTGTTGATTTTAAATGAAATTCTAATGTATATTTTATTAGGTGAACCACAAACTCAAACATCATTTTATGCACAACCATCATTAATACCGTGTTCAACGACTACAGATTCTGCCCCACCTACTTTAATCGGGCCAACTACTGTTAATAGTCCATCTTTATTTTCAGTAAATCAAATTGATGAACCTTTCCTATCCGACCAATCCGAAGAACTAACAGATGATGAAGATCTTGAACCTGTAGCTGTACCGCCTAGTACTTATTTTATTACTGGTACGCCATGTCTACAATCACCACCTCTATCAACGGCACCGCATGAGTCATTATCAACAGTAAAAGCTCAAACTTGTTCGGATCCTACCACTACTAATGGTCATAGTCAATTGACACCGGCTACTATGTCAAAACATATCAATCCATTTAGACAATATATAGAACAACAACAAAGACATGAACGTATAGAGGATAGTACTTCATCAGATAGTGGTTCACATGAATTATCACCTTCAACGGGATCTACGCCATCTGTTTCCTCTCCAGTTGATATACGTTCTTTGCTTTCACATGAATCAAATCGTTTAGATACATTTAAAAAACATAATCGTGAAACATTTGCACAAGTTCCTGTTGCACATCTTGCTTATGTTGGATTCTTTTTAAACGGTGAAGGTACTGCCATCCAATGTCCATGGTGTGAAGTCTGTTTAACTGAACGACAATTTGAAGATATTATGTCTACACGACCAACTGTTGTTCGTTCAGCAGTAAGTGATGAACCATGGACACCAATGCGTGTACATCGACATGCAAATGGACTAATGATGGATCAAAATCACTCATGGTGTACATGGGTTAGACGAGAAGCCGGTGGACTTTATCCAAATGTTACAATGGTATGAAACTTTTTTAAGATAAAACAAAAAAAAAGAAAGAATAAATTCATTTTTTTTGCTATAGTTACAAAGTCAACTACTTTATCCAGAATATCCGTCTTATTCGAATATTGAAAAACGAATTAAATCATTTACATCTGATTGGGTTTATCCAAGTGGTAGTCGTCTTTCGAATCAAATGATGGCCGAAGCTGGATTTTTCTATATGGGTGGAGGTAATGTTTGTTGTTATTATTGTGGTAATAAATTACAAAATTTTGAACCACGGTATTTAAATAAATTTTTTTTTCCATTCGATCAAAATAATGGTTCAAATTTTTTCTATAAATTTAATCTAGTGATTGTCCATTTGAAGAACATGCAACATTTTATCCTTTTTGTGATTTTATACAAAAAGTACGCGGTCTTGATTATATCAATCGAATTATTTTAGAATGTGGACGAAGTATATTAAATATATAAATATATATAGATCTCATATGAAAGTATAATTTTGTTATTTTTAGCTCCACAAGGACGATTAAAATATGAAGTGTTCGGTACACAAAAAATTAAACGTATTATATTTGATAAAAGTGGTAAGTTATTGATCTTTTTTTCTTTTTATATTTCATCAAGATATACAATAGTACGATGAGTCCTGCTGTAAATATAATGGATATATACAACATACTTATTTGCTAGTTTAATCAATAGTTACAATAGTAATGATCTTAAATTAAGAAATACGAAAATGAAAAACAATAAGAGAACAAAATATAGAGCGACAATGAAAATAATAAGGTGTCCGAGAGTAATTTCTAGTGGAATCAACTCTATGTCACTTGTTTGTATTGTGTCTAGGCCGATTGAAATAGTTAGTGATTGTGAAAATATTTCGAACTCACAAAAGTCTACTCAGTTATGAATGTCGATTCGGAATTTTACTTTATTTTCTCACAGATAACAGTTTTCTGATCGAAAAATACTAAAATATCAGATAAAACAATTAATAAAATCATGCTTCGAGAATAGTAAACTTTTTCTTCGAGGCTAATGTTTTTTCTCCATGTGTATTGTACACTTTATGTAAACTTCATCTTTCAGAATCAACGGTTACTCATAAGGAAAATTTTAGCACCTAACACTCGGTTTTTAGGTTGATAAAGAAATTCTTTTTTGTTAGCAAAAGTTCTAGTTTTTCGGCGTTTATTTGCTAAAAACTTCTGCTTGAGTACCAAACGAATTTTTCAAAGATTCTTGTTTTTCTAGGTAAATTTTAGCAGAGTTACTCGCCCGAAATAGAAGGTCATGACTTTTTATTCTATAAGAGGGGATATAGTATTTTTTATTAGTATAATGAAGCTAAAGAACACAGATGACTTGCACATGTTAGCCCACAAAGACATTACACTAACAACTTTTTGAATTTTCTTTTTGAATTTAATTAATTTCTGTTTGCTTTTCAGGTGCAACAAATCGTAAAAGTGAACGTCCGCCGGTAAATCGATTAGATTCATTGTCATCTCGTTCATTAAGTCGAAATATCGCATCTTCGCAAACAATAAATAATGCTTGTCTTATATGTACAGCAAATGCAGCTACACATGAATATGATCCTTGTCAACATTATCCAATGTGTCAAGAATGTTGTGCTCGTTTAGATCAAGAACACCTTCAAAGATGTATGGTTTGTCGTCGACCAGCTACAATACGTATGCGTGTACCAAATACCCCATTTATCCAGTGATTTGTTTTTAAACTAAAATGTATTTTTAATTGTTGTTTTATTTCATGTATAATTATATTCTTATTTATAAAAAAAACAAAAACAAACTAAAAATCCAAAGAAGGCATTGTAATGGTGATGGTTTATATAAATAAACTTATATATTCTTTTTCAGATGGCTACTTCATCAATTGCTAATAAAGTGAATAGTTCATTAGGACGAACTATTAAAACTGTAACTGTAATTGGAGGTGGTTTAATGGGTTCAGGAATAGCTCAAGCAAGTTTAACAAAAAAATCAAATGAATTTCTATTTTCAATAAGAAAAATTTTATACAGGTTGCTGCTGAAACTAATCATCAAGTTATTATTGTTGATCAAAAACAAGAATTTCTTGATAATAGTTTAAATATAATACAAACAAGTTTAAAACGTGTTATTAAAAGAAAATTTGAACAAGATCAACAACATGGAGAAAAATATTTAAATGATATTAAAAGTCTAATTAAAACAAGTACAAATATTAATGATGCTGTTCAATCAACAGATATTGTTATTGAAGCAATTATTGAAAATCTTGAAATGAAACAAAAATTATTTAAATAAATTAATCAAGTTGCATCACGGTATATTTATATATTCATTCTTCATATATAGCACTGGAAAAATTATACAATTACCTTCTGACTTTGACTTTTCTCAATGTTTATTCTTAACACTCGTTTTAAATTAACTATCTATATATAGATTTATATGAACAATGAATTTGAAACAAGTATGAAGAATAAAGTTCGAGAGAAGTCAAAGTCGAAAGGTGTTTCTATAGTTTTTCACAGCATTCTATATACTTTCGAATGATTATTTATATTTAAGACATACAATTTTCACAAGTAATACATCATCATTACCAATTATTGATATTGCTAAAGATGTTCAACGAAAAGATAAATTTGGTGGTTTACATTTCTTTAATCCTGTGTAAGTAATCATGAAGAAAGAAACTCTTTGTTTTTTTTAACTATCATAAAAATGAGAAAAGTATAGATATTCAGAAGAATGTCAAATTATCTATTCATATTTTTATTCTAAAGAATTTATTGTTTCTATGTTAAAAATGATTTGATTTTTACTATCAACATATGATTTAAAACGCTATAAAACAAGTATTGGAAATATTTTATTTATTTTTTTCGTTGAGCCAATTCAACCGTTGTTTCAATAGAACAATATTTATCTTTTTTTTTCTTATCGAAATTTGAATTTGTTATTAGACCTGTTATGAAATCACTTGAAGTAATTCGTATATCAGCAACAAGTGATGAAATATTTCAAACATTATTAACTTTTGGTAAAGCATTAGGAAAAACAACAGTATCATGCAAGGTATGTTAGATTTTTAAATTTATCATTTCTTTGTATGTGGGTTATTTCATGCAAAACAGAATATTCTGACGTTTTATTTCACTTTGACCCACTACAAAGATTATTCTTTGGAATACATTCTTTTAACATAGATATATGTAATCATTATTAGCTCTTTCAGCTATCTATTAATTAAAATTAATTAACTCATTTATGCCCACAAATATAATAGCCTTGGGTACTTCTTTGCGATAATTCAAGAATGAAAAGAGCTAGAGAGCTGCAGTTTTCACCTTTCAGAAGAGAGAATCCAAGACTACTAAAGTATATCGAAGTTCAATTTTTCAGTCATAGACTGATCAAGTGAGTTCTTGATGAAGATTTTCGAAAATGATATTCTTAAGCGATTTTCATTTCAATTTTCTTCTCTTTGGATTTACACAAATGCAACATTCGTAGCTTATTCCATTCGAGGGTTATAAGACTTTTCTGAATACTCTTAAACTCAGCCAATTTACCTGTGATTACTCGTAAAAGTGGTTAAACAAGAGAAATTCACCATGCTGAATCACAATGAAAGCTGATTGTGGAATTTTAGAAATACTGAGACAACAATGTCAAATCAATTTGAACCTAAAAGCAAACATCAGTGTTTAACTCAGCATGATGAGTTACATCTGTCAAGGTGCTTTTCTCGGTAATCACAGATCCATTGGCTGAAATTGGAGGTCTCAGGAAAAGTTTTATAACCTTAAAACTAAACTAGCAAGAAATATCGGTCTTGTGCAGATCGAGAAAGAAAAAAAATGTTCTATCGATTAGTTCTAATATTGAAATGTAAATAGCTTGAGAATATCTATTTTTCAAAAATCTTCATTAAGACCTCACCTGATTGAACAATTCCCTGGCTAGTCCAGTTTCAATAGACTTCGGTGTCCCTATGTCTGCTCTCTTGAATAATGAAACCAGAGGTTTCTATATTGTTCCTATTCAAAGTTACTTAACAGATGGCAACTCGCCTTTTTTTGAATCAAGCAATAGTTCGCTAATTAATCCATCACAAAATAATTAGCAAATATCTCTCCAACCATACGAGAGAAAAAACCCGAATACTTAAGGATCTAATCTATGGTAGGAACCATATGTTTGATGGAATTTTCAGCAAGATCAAAGCACGGAAAAATGTCCTCGTAAAAAAGCAATTTTCTAGAAATAATCTATCAACTTCCTAAACAAAAATTGATGTCTTATCATTCGATGCCCTTGAACGCTAATTTTTTTTTGATAACTCCTCTTAACTTAGGTATCTAATGCTGATTTTCTTCAGAGTATCTAAAGTAATTCAATATACATTTAAGATTAAAAAAAAATTGCTCTTGGAAAGTTCATTATCCTGAGATGCACATATTTCAGTTTTACGAAGTCACATCACTAACGAATCATTTTGTCGATCTTTTCTATAGGATACGCCAGGCTTTATTGTTAATCGTTTACTAGTACCTTATCTTCTTGAAACAGTTCGCATGATCGAACGTGGTGACACTACAGCTGAAGATAATTAGCAAATATCAAAGTTTATTTCTTTTTTTTGTATTTTTCATTTTATTATAAATTATTTTATAGATTATTGATACAGCTATGAAACTAGGTGCTGGTTATCCAATGGGACCCATTGAATTATTAGATTGTGTAGGTTTAGATACATCAAAATATATTGTTGATGAATGGAAAAAATGTTATCCTAATGAAACATCATTTAAAACAAGTGAATTATTAAATAAAATTGATAGTGAAGGTAAATTAGGCAAGAAAACTGGTGCTGATTTTTATAATTATAAAAAATAAACAATTGAAATATGATTCGTTTATTATTATGATATTCTTGTGATTCGTCGTCTTTTACTTATGTTTGTTTTTTTTTGCTTTTAACATAGGATTAGCTTTATACAAAATTTCACCGAGATTTAACATTAGAAATTGAAAAAAAAAAACTGAATAGATTATTTATCAAGAACATGATAATGCAATATAACTTCTACTAAATAAAACATTTTGATTACATTTGGGACATGATTGGGCTTGATGAGTCCATTTTTGTAATAAACCCATAATACATCTAATTAACAAGAATGACGATAATAGAAACAGAAAAAAAAAACGAAAATTTTTATTACCGTTCATGGAACATATGTGTACATGGTAAAATTTGTATACGATCAGGTTTCATACCCATTGGTGTTTTACAAACAGAACATAAAAGATCTGCTTCTTGATAAAGACGTTGAGCTGTATCTAATACATTTCGAGCTTCTTCTAATTTATTATCCGATGTCAGTATACGTTCGTTTAATAGATGACATCGAGCTTGTAATAGTTTATTACTCATTGATGTTGATGTTGATAATGCTGTTGTAAGAATATCATTTGCCTAAAAAATTATATAGGTTGAATAGAAATCAAACTCAGCTTGTTTTACTTTTATTTTAGGTGATCATGATCATAAACGATTTATTGAATGTCATTAGAGGTAGAAGCAATGTCTTTTTAAGTCTTTTCTGCTACGAAAAATCTTTTCAAAGGAGGTCAATCACCGTCTGAATCCATCACTGATGTGGATGAAAGAAACACACACACGCAAGAGAACTAAATGGACTAAAAAAAGCATAAAAGTAAAGCTGGATTAATTTAATTCGTCGAGGACACCGCATAGATTATACAATATAAAAATGTTTCCAAATAAACGCAACATCATATACATATTAATTACTACTGTAGTTTGTTTGTTTGTTTTCGAAGAAATAAGTGTTATTTTCTAATTATAATTGATTCAAACTATAAATGTCTACTATTAATGACAAAGTCATTCAGTCAAATGTCATACAATTTATGTGCTTATTTATATACGTATATCATAATGCTTTTTTCTAAATTGTCATTGTTAAAGAGATATTTCTCTCATTTGCTTATAGTATAACAAATATATCATTAAAATCGATCTTATCCTCTTTCTTATGTGCTAAAGACAACAGATGAAATAAATATCATTGAGAACATAAATGATAGACAAAAATAAAGCTTGACATTCTCATCGTATTTAATTGTAATAGCATCACTAACAATTAGTAGTTGACAAAATACAATGCTATTAAACTAAGTAGATTCCAAAAACACATTTTCTTTTATTGCAATGGAAAAAAAAAATGATAATCAGAAGAAGAAAAAAAAAATATGATTTTAATATTATTGTTTACTTACCGTTTGTTTTTGTGTATTGAGTGCCAATAATGCTTTAACAAGACCAATCATAGCAAGCGTATAGCTATATCGATCGTTCATATCTTGTAACATCTGAATGGCCGCTTCGTATTTTTTACATGCGACCTTGATACATAAAGATAAAAAAAAGATAGACATAAGACATCGCAACCAAAGCACATGTTTATTAAATGGCAATATGTGTGTATATTCCACACCAGGCGGTAGCTTGTTATCGATCGAACATCACTATATTTACGTCTATTGATTTTTGTGTATGACTCCCTACCTACCTCATTATTGTTTTGCGAACGTTGTATATCACCGATGCATACAAGACACTTGGCTTGAACCGGTCGATCTCCAAGACTCGATGCTGCTCGCATAGCTTCCTATGATTATAAATATTTATATAAATCTTAAAGATTTTTTTTTTTATAAATGTTACTTCAACACATTTATTTGCACCTTCAAAATCACCCATTAATCTTAATGGTGTAGCTAATTTTAATTTTGTTAAACGAACAAATTTTGAATTAACATTTACATTTTGTCCAGCAGCATAAACAGCATTTGATAAAGCCATTTCAAGTGCTCGACGTTGAAATGCTTGTGCTTTTGAAAAGTCTTTTAATGCAAGATAAACTTTACCCATCGTACTAAGTACTTGAACTTCCATTATATGATCTACATTTTCATGTGAAATGCTTAAAGCTTTATCAAGACATTCGACCACTTTAGAAAAATTACATAAACCTATATAAGAATCTGCCATAACAAGTAAAGCATAACCATGTATGGAACCACCTGGTGGTGAATATTGAAGTGTTGAACGAGCATAACTAACTGCTTTAAAATAATCAGCAAGCATTTCATTAGCACGTGCTAATGTTAAATAAGCTTGTGCACGAAGATTATTATCATCTAGTTCATGTGCAATATCAATTTGTTGTATAGCATAGACAAGATAATCTTTATTACGTCCACGATCACGTGAGGCTGATGCTAAGTGTCCAAGTGTAGAAAATCGAAGTCGATTATTTTTCATTTTTTGTAATGATATTGTCCATTTTTTAATAGCTGCATCATAATTTTTTTCTTCATATAAATTTAAACCTTCTTCAACTTGTCGACGTATCATAAGTTGACCCATAATAAAAATAAATTTATTTGTCTAAAAATTGATTTCTGGAATGATGATCAATGATTAAACGAACATATATACTTCTATTTCATTGCAAGAAAAAATGTTTTGTATACATCAATCTAGTAGTTAGTATTCTAAAATAGTCGATCAAGTTAAGAAAAAAAAACAAGAAAAATATAGAAGAAAAAAACAAGATAGACAGAGAGAGAGAGAGAAAGAATGTCAAAGAACCTAAGCTAAACAACAATAAGAAAAAGAATATTGTATTATTATTACTATGTCGCATTGTTCTTCTTATCAAGTATATAATGACAACAGAGCAAGAAAGAAAACGATTGAAAAAAGCTCTTCTTATAAGATACGTTTCTCGAAGGTATTTATTATTTGCACATATGTAGTATATCAATTATTAGTTGATACAAATCAAATGATAATGGTGAGATAATGAAATAAAATATTGCGACTTTTTTTTTTGTTTTATCTAAAGCGACTATGTCAAAACAGAGAATATTTATATATATAATTTAAAAAAAATTGTTTTCTTATATAGTTAATAATTTTATTTGATCATCCCATTGATGTCTATCGACCAACGAGATTACTTGATCTTTGTCTATCTTTAGGGAATTCGATTCTTGTGCTAAAATAGTAACAGTAACACACTGTGCGTGTTACGATAAGTGTCATACGCATACAAAAGCAATTAGATAGATGAACAAAATGCACGAATGAATAGTTTATGGTAATACATCTTTACATTTATTTCAAAAGCATGAGCACAAGAGAAATAGAAATTAAAATATATTTCAAGCCAAGCGTTAATATTCAACCATAAGCACGGTTCTTAATACAGTTTCTTTTCTTTCAATTATTGATATAAATTAGATTCTTAGATGTTTGTTCATTTTATTTGCTTCTTTAATTATCACTTACTTTCATTTTGATGTCGTTACATATTAGTTAGAAAAGTCAATTTTCTTTCAACAGTTGTCATCAAAGAGATTTTTATGATGCGTGTATGTGCCAGCTATACACTCTTTTTTCTTTCATTGTTTTTACCAAGAACATGGAAAACATACACATAAATTCTCTCGCTTTTTTTTGTGCTTCATAGTTAACTAACGAAGCGAACATATAAGATTTATTGCTCGAGGTTAAATACGAGAAAGTTTTATGATGATAAAAACAGGAAAAAGAAGAAAAAACAACTCTATCATCATTGTTGAAAAACTATTGGTGTTCATCAAATATTTAGAATTGTAAGAGACGTAAATTGAGACATAAAAAATTCAAATAAAATTATTATTCTTTTCGTCTTCTTGTTTTTTCACAATATTATTTATCTGTTTTTATGATTATTATTATTATTACTATATAAAAAACAATAACAGGAAAAAACAGCATCAAAGGAGGGAATGTCAACAAATGATAATGGCAATAGCAAACAACAACAAAAACAGCAAACTTATAATAAAGATATGCACGAACGCTTGTTTGTGGTAATTGACTTTTAAAATTGTCTCTTATCAATCGATCTCCATCTGTTGATTATCTATTCTTTTTATTTAATCATAAAGGACAACTTTCTAGTTCAATAAGAATCATAGGAAATTGTATAAAGGCTGTACAAATATTGATACATTAACTAGACTTATTTCTAATACAAGAATATGACCTTATTGATTCTATTTATAATGACATGTCTATTCATTAGGATTGCATAACTTTGCCTGCGTATGTATATATATATATATTTATAAATATTCAACACTTATTTGATATTCTTGTCAATGCAAGAATCCGATTCAATGAACCTAATCATTAGAAAACAAGAACTATTTATAGCTATTAAGATATGTTGTTGATTGCCCTTAGGCTAAAAGCAACAAGAGTACTCATTGTAACCAACATTGTTACTGTCTCGTGTCATCTACTGTTATTACTTTGTATTGTTATTGGTACTTTGTCAAAGGTTAGAAGTAATCTGGATTAATTTACAATGACCTGACATAGACAAGCTCTTGCTGTTGACATCGTCCTAGTTTCTAATAAATTTGATAGTTGAATGATTTGGGCTTTTATTTAATGAAAGATTTACTATCTGTTTTTGTATTAATCAAGTCAACACAACTGAGGTAATCTATTGTCAAAACTGTATTGTATCATATCGGTTGATGGACGATCCTACTGACAGATTCTGAGTGTCGAAATTGTTTCATCGATTCTAAAGAAATACATTGAAACATTAGACTATTATTCCGACTTTGCCCTGCCAAATTAAGTGACTAAATAAATAAAGAATCAGTTACAGCAAAGGCTGATATAGATTAATAATACTTTTTGCTTTTATTCTTCAATAAAACCATCTGTCAAAATATATTATTGATAAAAGCAATTGTGTAAAAATATATCTAATAATCAAGGTGCGGGAAACATTATTATGCATTTGTGCTTAAGAAATTGTATAATTTGGCAGATTTAATAAACATAATTTTAATTTCAATATTGATTCATTATTTGAATCTTATAATACTTAAATGCTGTATTTATTGAAACAATGTACGTTCAAATTTTATTTAATAAATCATTTACCTAATTGAATAAGCATTTTTGAATATGAAATAGATTCGCTTTCCTTTCCAAAGTTACTCACGAATGATTTGACGGAAAATTATGAAACTGTTAAAGTAGATAGATTTCAATAAGTAGAGTAGAAGCTGTCATAGACTCACGATTTCCACATGTTTCCTTCTGAAATATATGGGGTTCGCCAAGACCAAAAATGGCCTGAAGTTCCCTTCTCCCCGACAAAACTCTATATTTCATTTTTTCGCTGCTGCATTGTTTTCTTTCAAAAATATTGTTCCTAGAGCACAGGACAACCAAAACCCTGGAAGCACCATCCAAAAAACGTGTTTTGTTTCAAGGAAACTATTTTTTTTTGACTACTGAATGTTGCAGGATCAGCATTTTGAAGAAACAAAAAAAAAAAAACGAAAAAAAATTTTTTTTTGGTCAAAGAAATTGATTCTGAGAAAAACCCAAAACACGGTAAAATTTTGTTTTACTCATTTTGAATTACTATAAATTATCATTTATTTTCCATCAAATATGAATATAAAGAACGATTTTTAAGAAATATTCATAGAATTAATAAACAAGCTAAACTTACAAAATTGCTGCCTATAAAACCATAGGCGTTGTTTTCAAGATAAGGGTTCTCAAAACTAAGCTTTATCAGAGTTTATACAGTTTGACACAGTTCTGATATTTATAACACTTGATAGAGGACTTTAACTACATCGTTAAAAATGAAAACCGAAAAAAAAATTTTTTTTTTTTTTTGGCCAGAAAAGAGAGTCCCCTTAAGTTATTTTTTGTCTGTGTCTTCTATTAATTAAACAAAACTTTGAATCATATTTACTTTTGCAAAGTTTCATATAAATAAAATAAATGCCATGCTTTTAAAATTGGTCGCCAATAAACAAACTAAAATCTTATTTTGTTCTGTGGCTTACATATTCGTCTGTCTCTTTTCAGTCTTGTGACGAATAAAAAATTTGTCATTCTGCCGACTGTAATACTTATACATACAGTTCTATTCGTAATAATTCGCAAAACGACAGCAAGAACGATTTTTTAAATATTCACTGGAACCAGAGAAAAGAAAAAAGTCATTTGCCAGTCACACACAGTTCTCTGTTGCTCTCTCTCTTTCCTTTTTTCTTTTTATTGAACTTTCATTGACTACTGAAGTAATAATAATTTTTGTATACCATGTATGCCAGTATTTTACTTCTTTCGCTTATGAATAACATAAACGACAGCGAGTGTCAGAATAGCAATCTGTTTTTTATTGCTACACATTTTTATTTTTACTTTTCTCTATTTCATTGAATGTTTATCAAACATTCATGTTGCATTCACTGAATAATAGAAAAGATCAATAAATTAATATACGAGTAGTACAAACGATAAGCAGATTCGTTGGTTCTTATCATTTTTTAGCACTTTTGATTTTTTTTTCTCTCGGTTACAGATAACCAACTGTGATAGTGATTCTTCAGTGTAGAACAAAAAGGTTCGTTCTATGCGTAATAGGCAATAAAAGAAGATAGACATTTGATTAATGCTCTACAACGACTAACAAAGTACAATTTCATCACATTGAAAAGGTTAAGTTTTGATTTGCAACACGATGCCTCGATCGTTTATTATTCATGCAACATTTTGTATACTTTGCATCAATATATTATTTCAGAAAACCGACGCTGTTAAAAAACCAACTTATTGTAAGTTTCTAACAATTATTTAAAATTAAATTCATACATTTTTGAAACTTCTAAGAATTTATAATTACATCATAATAGATTTTATACTAAAATTAATTTTACTTTTCTAGCTAGTGGTATTGCTGATCTCGTACGAACAGCATTTAAACGTGGTTTAAATCGTTTTATAAATCGTCAAACATCTTATGATTCCGATGTATTTCATTATACTCAAGCAGTACAACGTGGTTATGATGGGCTTTTTTCAGGTGAAGCATGTCGGTTATCACCAATGATTTGTTCACATGATGAACAATGTTGTACACGTCGTTGTTTATGTTGTCGATGGTTAATCATGGGTGAAGAACGATGTATAAGAAAATGCTTATAAACAATAACAACAACAAAAAAAATACAATATTCTCTATCACTATGACAGCATATATCAAATATTCTTAAATCTTTTTTTCTTTCGTTCTCATTTAAAATGTCTAAAACATTCGATTCATTAAACATACCATATTGTACAAAAGATTTTCATCCTTATTTTACATCTCTTTTGACACCTGATGAAATATTTTATTTAAAACAATATTTTTATTATCAAAAAAATCTTGCTGTACATTTAATGAAATATCAACGTTTATTACTATCGAAATATAATCGTCAAGGTATTCGATTTAATTATAAATTATATATAGATAAAAAAACATTTGAAAACTTTGGATTTTCACCAATACGTTCAAAACCAAATTTATTTATAATGAATGAAAAACAATTCAATCGAATATTAAATTCACTTGATATTCGACGAAATCATTTACAGTCTATTAAACCACACAAAATACAATCTCAATTGAAACCTGATCTGCCTCTTATCTTAATTCATAATATTGAATCTCATATAAAAAACATTGATACAAAAATAATAAAATTAAATACATGTTCTACATTAATTGCTAATGGTCATGGAATATCGAAGACAATATCTTCATCGACTAATAATGATAAAAAACAATTAAATCATCATACAATATATGAAGATATAAGTTTATCAAAAGCATGTCAAAATATACTTAATCGATCTTTATTTCGACGATTAAATAATCCAAAATTGTTTGTATAAAATATCAATTCCACTTATCATTAGTTTAAATGGAAATGTTTTATATTATTCCTTTTTTTTTTTTTACTTCTTTTTTGTATAATAATTTTCATACACATTTTGTTTAGAAAAAAGTGTTTTTTTTTTAACATTCTTAATAATGAAAGAAAAAATGCAAAATGTAAATTTTTATTCTACATTAAATCTGAAGTTTTCGATGTTTATTATGTACAGTCAGGTTTACAGGTGACACTTTCACTTTAAAATATTTTAATGTTTACAAACTTTATGATCTCAATTGCCAATGAGTAGAGCAATCATTAGAATATCATTAATTTTATCAATTCTTTATTTGTTCTCTTACGTCATCTTCTTTAATTGTTCATTTTCATCTCTTTTATTCTACTTCATTTAGTACGATTATTCCAAATCTTTCCTTGTTCTGTTTAATTAAGAGTAGAAAGAAATCAGTGTTCTCTTAGACCAGATAACAATTAACTTTTCAGTCTCCATTTATGAAAAAGGTGGATTAGAAAGATGAATTTTTGTCTTGTCCTTGGCTTAAGCGCTCGAGGCAAATTCAAGTTAAGATTGAAAGTAAGCATTGTTATTGTTTAAGAGTTGAAACACTTTTTATGTACGCAGGCAACATCTTCGTTTAGTTAACCTTCATTGTCCATATCCGGTTTAAGATATTTCAAAATATTCAATTGAAAACTATTTAGTGATCATTTTCATTTGTCTATGACTTGTAAATAATTCTCTTCGCACCAAGCAAATATTTTCTAAGATGTATGCGACGTTCCGTCATCTTGATGAGGGACAAAATTTTCTGTTGACATCAGACTGTGCGTATCAAAAAATGATTCCAATATAATAATCAGATTCCAATATTTTATCAGATTTAGATATAATTGAAAATATAAAATAATTTTTAAGAGCACATTATGTACACCGGGCTTAATATTAACAACAAGAAAACTTGCTTTCTTATATTTGTAGCTCTATGAGGGTTTAAGTTTTGAAGATGGATATGTAAACAACAATATAAAGTTGAAAATACCAAGAAAGAATATTTTCTTAACCAAAATTTTAACTTTCAAGTGAATTAAAGATTGATGCTCGTTACAATGAAATACGCTAAACATTAGCTCCCGTTTAATTTATAAACGAAACAAAAGAATATCAAAACGAGACAATAAAACGAAAGAGTATTTAAAAAAAAAAAAACAAGTCTATCAATGGAGAAATCTTTTCACTTAATTTTCAGCTTTTGATTTATGCTCTGTTGTAAAGAAATTTCACACAAATTTAGTTTAAAAGCTGATATGATAAAATCAATGAATTTTAATTGTTGTTAAAGCGTGGATGATGAATTTATTTTTAGCTAATCGCAGCATAATTCTTTTTGAGTGCATAACCTTTTGTTTTATATCTCTTTTTTGTCCAGTCTTCCTGCCAACTAGTAACATAATTAAATCCTAATGAAAAATATTCTTCGTCAGTTAGGAGAAGTTTTAACAATTCGAATAAGATAAAATAAAAAAACGATCGTATCTGCAGGATCAAAGTTTGCTTGAAAAAAATATTGTCTAGTCTTAAAAGAAAACTTTCCTCAATAAAATAAGCTGTCTTTCATGAAGTTGTAGAGCTTTTTTCGTTGGTTGTTGGAGAAATCAGCCTATTATTGAAATTCTTTATTCAAGACTTTTGTTTTTGTTTTTCGTTACATGAGGAATAGAAATTGCTTATTGTTCCAATAAATGAGATTTTTATTCTATTCCTACTTTTCTTGTGAACTACTAACAACTTTTAAACAATAAAAAATTAAAAAAAGTCTAAAAAAAGCTGTAAAAACTTGAAAAAATGATTACTATCAATAAAAATAAAAAATACTAATAATAATAGAAATCTGATGTTGGATTCGGATTTGCGACCTCCGAAAATCTCCGGGTATCAGAAAGACACTATAAAAAATTCTTCATCACTCGTTTTTTTTGTCGACTCTGAAATAATCTCTTTTTTTTCAGTTGCTGTTTATAGAATAAACTAAATGATATAATTTTTTATATCAGATAAAAGTTTAAAATACATACTGTGGCTATGAAGTTTTCTTTCAGATGCCGATTAGCTTCAGTCAGGGTTCAGTTGAAAAAGGTCATAATCGTGCAGAAGATATGCCCTAAAGTTTACTGCATGCATTTATAGCGGTCTAAGAATATTTAAATCTCCAATTCACGGCCTAAACTCTATTCATATTAGGAACTTTCGATCTTATAATCTTGCGCCCTTTCTGGACTGGCCGTCAGAAATTCTTCATTGCCAACAGGTGTCAGATCATTTTCTACCTTCATTAATAACAAAGGAAATTCGTTTTAGTGTGAAATTTTTGTCGGTTGAAATATGTATATCCTAATAAAAAAAAATTAATAAAGCAAACTTTTTAGTGTCTTTCTATGGATAGTCGAAGTTTGAAATACTCAAAAAATAAGTCAATCAAACTAATGTCAAATAAACGAATAAATTTAAATTAAAACAATTTTTTCTAATTGATTTCGTCAACTTAAAGACTATATTAGCCTATCTCGATATTAATATGATCATTGCATCAGTTTCCGACCAACATCTTCATTTCGCTCAACCAACTTTGACACATACTGTTCTGTTTTGCCCAGTCTTAGAATTCAAATAGTTAATTCTTTTCCAAGTCTGTCCTCTGTGACATTCCACCATATCGTTTAAAATTGTGTTATTTAATGATGATTCTTCACCTGTCAAGATTAATTTTAATTGAATTTAGTCCTGTCTTTTATTGTTCGGTTAATAAAATTTTATCGAATAGAACTATTTTATGAAGAAATTGATTAAGATTAATGTCAAGAGAAATCCATCTTTGAGTTGAAAAATCAAATTTCTATCGAATACAACTAGTACAATTTCTATCACTTATAATTAGACTTTAGTCTTTGTTCTCTTTTTTATGAAATCTTTGTTAAAAATAGAAGGAAGTTTGGATACGATCGGTTCATTTCAAAACCTTGTAATAAGCAATTGTTTCTGTTCATTTAGTATTTCGGTTGACTTCGTTTTCTTGATACACACTATCAAATACAATCATAATATTATTATTTAAATTACCCATTGCTGCACATCCATGTAAAAAAATGACTCAAAATTAGATAAAAAATCGATTATTTTCGGATTAATAATCTGTTATAATGGCACTATTTTTATTTGATTAAAATCAGATTTAAATCTGATTTCTTTAGGCGTCTTTTTTTTACATGGGCAATGAATTTTTACTTTTATTCTTATTTCCTTACTGTATGATGGTAACATTTTACATATAAAAAAAAAAGAAATGTGCACATCCCATAGGTACTTAGATAGTTTTATCAGTAAATGAATGAATATCAGACATTCAGAACAGCTTGATGCTGAAGTTAATCATTCAAACAAAAAACAACTTTTTACCAGATCAATCGAACCTCCGAACATTGGTAACGCTTTAATTCTGATAAATATTTCTACTACTACTTATTTGTTCAACAGAAAAAAATTGCAGATCTCTGCTACAAAATTCTTAATATTTATTTCACCGAACGTGTTTAGTTCATATGTTTAAAAAACTTAGAGTGAATATTTATTAAATAAGTGTTTATAAATATATAATAGTGAAATTACAAAATGAAAAATGTCCTCAACTAAGTTTATTATCTTTTGAGTTCATGATAAAATTAAACAACACGAAATTCATCAGCTATTTTTATCTTGATTACTCTTTTATCACTCGACACTTTATTATTGGTTTTCTTGATCATTTTGCTCTTTTTCTTTTGCTTCTTCTTCTGGTTCTTCATCGTCGGTATCTTCTTCCTCTATAATATAAAAATCATCATCATCATCATCTCAGTTGTCATGACCCATATCATCAATTTTCATTTCACGAGCAGCCGCCGTACGGCACTGCTCTGGATTAGTCATATAATCATGTGGAATGTAACAATATCCTTTATCACCCTATCATGACGCGAAACATAAACATTTCTCTCAAAGAAATTCTTGTTTACTCAAGTTGTTCCCTACGAATTTTGAACGATCACTATAACCCATAGCTAACATCACAATGACTAAAATGATAGATTGTAATTCAAATTTTTTCTCCTCAAATAAAATCAAACCGTTTATATTTTCCTACAGAGTTTGCTCATGATTTTGGCATTCTTATAATGCTTGTTGTTTTTTCAATTTATAAAATGATTTATATAATTTTTAACCAAATACAAATGGATATTTTTGTGCAAGACATGTTTTCATTTCATTTAAATCTATTCCAATTTCTAGCGCATTAGTTATCCTATTGTTTTAGGCTGCTTCGTATGCGTCCTTGCTAGCGCATTCATTTATTCTTTCAATATCGAATGACCAAACTGATCCGAGACACAAACCAGATTCAGCTAATGCTTCAACAGCATCTGGTATACTACTACCTTGATCTTGAATGCTTTTTTTTTGACTTGTTATCTTTAATTCGAGCACTGTAATAAATAAATAATCGACTTACATCAATATGGTCACCACTACATTTTTAAATAAATATTCATAAACTTCTACAGTCAAAACTTTATGAGATCTTCAAAAAAATTCATATTCACTTGCAAAAGCATTCGCTACACTAGATTAAAAGAAATTCCATGGATATCATGATTTATAGTCAAATATATTACACATACCAACTTCTGGTGTCTCCTTGTTTTTCAACAAGTGTCATTATGGGACGAAGATCGGCTTTATATAGAAGTTGTATATCACTTAACGTCATATGATCACAAAGCTTTTTGTAACTCTTCACATTAGGTTTGCATTCTGATTCTATAAGACCATCGATATAATACTTTTCTCCGGTAGGTTTGTCAACGAAATAACATCCATTGGGCATTTCTAAGTTTTGTATTGTAAAACACAAGAATGCAGATCGAGTAACTACTGACGAATAATTATGATCTCACTATAGTAATAAA